AAAACTCAATCACTAACCCCAACACCAGCCGCGTAAACCTCAACCCAGACATTGAAAACCCCGAAAACCCCGATTCCCCCACCACAACCACAACCACAGACCCCGTCTCCCCCCCCCTCCGCGACACCCATGTCCACAGCCACAGCCGCGGACCCAGCCAAGACCACTCCCACTCCCACTCCCGCCCCCGCCCCTCGCGCCCGGACCTCGCCAACTCCGTCCGCCGCCACCGCGGCCTCTCAGCCTACTTCCTCGGCCCACCCACCACCACCACCACCACCCACAACCTAACACCCAACCGCGACACGACCATGGAAGAGCGCCTGACCACGCTGCGCCGGCTGCGCAGCGAGCACCAGGCGAACATGACGGCCACGGGGGCGGTTGGGCCTTCGTCGGCGGCGGCTGGTGTGGCTGATGCGGAGGAGCAGTCGAGGAGGAACAGGCTGACGGCGCGGTTGAGGGAGAGGTTCCGGATTCGGACGAGGCAGCATGAGGGAGGGGTAGGGTCGAGCCCGGGTCCGGGTCCTGTGGCGCCAGAGGGAGGTGCGGAGCGCAATGATGGTGCCGGTGCCGGTGCTGGTGCTGGTGCTACGACGACGGAAGAATCTACGACGAGGCCGTAACTGTGAGTTTGATTCAGTTGTCGACTTTGTGATGTGTGGGTGATGTACAAATTGTACAGTATGAGGGAACATGGATGGATGTTTGCGATGGTTTTCTTCAAAGACTCCTACTCTACCTACCATACTGTGCTCTTCCTCACCACCACGCTTTGGTGAAACGGGGGAGTAGATGGAGGGATGGACGAGAAGAAGGAAGCCAAGCAACCTTTCCATTCCCATTCCCATTTTCGATTTTCGATTTTCCAAATGTTCTCTGGATTCCTTTCTTCTCCTTGGCTCTCTCTCTAACGAACAAACGGAACGAACGAACAAACGAACGAACGAAACGGCGTTTATTTTTGCTCTTGTCTTTGCTCTTTATCTTGTCTTGTCTTGTATATGAAATTTGTTTATGAAATATGTATGGGAAAGGGAAAGGGGAAACAAACATCAGCGGGCAAAGTCTTCAAGTTACATTTTTTTTTGTTTTTTTTTTTTTTTTCAAATCTATCCACCTATCTATCTGTTGTTGATTGATATGCTATTTTGCGTTTCTGTCGTCATTTGTCTTTATACCCATCAACGCACACCAACCACCCCCTTTGTCTTTACCTAACATCTCTATATCATTGTATACCCCACCATTCCCTGCAAATATATCATATATATACCCTTCCAGCACCCCCCATAGCCTAGCTACATGATTTGTATATTGCAGTGTATGTATATGCATATAAATTGTGATAAACCCTCCTTACTTCCAGTACAATAGAGTATGAATGAGATCTAGCAGTGGTTTATATAGTTAGTTAGTTTAATCTGAGTTAATATTTTTTGGGTGTTTTTTTTTTGAAGGGATATTTATTATGAATAATAAATTTAGAAGATATAAGAAATGAAAATGAATAAATACCATTTTCGAGATTTCATGAAGTCACTCAATTGTCCGAAACTAAATAAATAAAATAAAACATCGGCGTTGACCCCGATGCCGAACTCGCTGAGTCGCACAGAATGCCGAACGATCCTCTGCCTGGCTGGTAATTATATATAAAAATAACTATGTATTGACGATTCCAATTGTTTCGGACATATATATTAGTAAACCAGGAATACTTTTTAAATGTTTTTACCATTTTGCGAAGGTTACAATCGGCATTTCGAATTAAGTTGGTTGGTTGGTTGGTTACTCGGCAATGGCCGTCTGATGTCCCCGATCATATGCGAAACAGAAAACAGATCAGCCCACCATTATTAGCAGGTTATTGAGGCCATGTTTCAACTCACAGCAGAAGTATAAGCACAAGCACATGAAAAAGAGGCCAGCTGGCTGTCTATTTATCTATCAGTGTATGGACTAGCAGCGCAGGAAATGAGATGTGATAACTCCTATCTGCCAGACAGACCTCGGCAGAAAGAGGTCTCCAGCCAGATGGAGCAGATATGGGGCACATCCAGGCTTCTGGAAAAAATGCCTAGGTTATTTGTTTGCTTGCTTTTATAAAAGTCTGGGGAAAGGGAAGGGGGACTTCTATCTTCTCTTGATTTCTGTTTCTGTGTCTGTATATTTATTCATTTGTATAACAGCTGTATATTATTTGTCTTCTCGTCATTTCATTTCATATTTCCAAATTACCCAGCTAGTTCCCGCCATGGCTCCCCCACCAAACTCCCCGCGCTCACCGAAGCCAACAGCATCATCCCGCACCACAACCACAACCACCACCACCACATCCCCAACTTCTCCCCCATCAACCACCACTGCAACCACCACCGCCCGCTCCCGCCTTGCCAATATCCAAAACCACATCATGTCGTCCACCGTCTTCACCGCCGCCGCCGTGCCCCAGGCCCCCGAGGATCCGCTCTTCGGCCTCATGCGCGCCTACAAGCAGGACCCCTCGGACAAGAAGGTCGATCTGGGAATCGGCGCGTACAGAGACAACACTGCGAAACCGTGGGTTCTGCCTGTTGTCAAGAAGGTAAATACTTGGGGGTATATTCTGTTCATGCTGGGATGGCTGTTTTGTTGCTTTCCAGTTTGATCACAAGATTGATTTGACTTGACTTCATATGCTAATAACTACGTGAATGACATAGGCCGACGAGCTGCTGCGGAACGACCCAAATCTCAACCATGAATACCTGCCCATTGCCGGCCTGTCTGAGTTCACGAGCGCTGCGCAGAAACTGATTTTGGGCACCGATTCGCCCGCCATCGCGGAGAAGAGAGTACGTCATACCCCCTCCACCCCCCCCCCCGAATTTCTATACAAATCAACCACCTAACAAAACCAAAACCAGGTCGTAACCCTCCAAACAATCTCCGGCACCGGCGCCGTCCACCTAGGCGGCCTCTTCCTCTCCAAATTCCACCCCACCCAACCCCGCCCATCCATCTACCTCAGCTCCCCAACCTGGGCCAACCACCACCAAATCTTCTCAAACGTCCACCTCCCCCTCGCCACCTACCCCTACTTCTCCCCACAAACCAAAGGCCTCGACATAACCGGCATGCTCTCCGCCCTCCGCTCCGCACCCCCGGGTTCCATCATCCTCCTCCACGCCTGCGCCCACAACCCCACCGGCGTCGACCCAACCCAGGACCAATGGAAACAAATCGCCACCACCATGCGTGAACGCAACCACTTCCCCTTCTTCGACTGCGCCTACCAAGGCTTCGCCTCCGGCGACCTAAACGCAGACGCCTGGGCGATCCGCTACTTCGTCTCACAGGGCTTCGAGCTCTGCATCGCACAGTCCTTCGCGAAGAACTTCGGCCTATACGGCGAGCGGGCGGGGGCGTTCCATTTCGTCTCTGCGCCCAACGGCGCGCAGGCAGCCGAGGCCAACGCGCACGTTGCCAGCCAGCTGGCGATCTTGCAGCGGAGTGAGATTTCGAACCCGCCCGCGTACGGGGCGCGGATTGCGGCGTTGGTGCTTAATGATCCGGTGCTGTTTGGGGAGTGGGAGGGGGATTTGCGGACGATGAGTGGGCGGATTGTGGAGATGAGGAAGGGGTTGAGGGAGAGGTTGGAGAAGAGGGGCACGCCGGGGAGCTGGGAGCATGTCACGAGTCAGATTGGGATGTTTAGCTTTACGGGGTTGAGTGAGGCGCAGGTGGGGAGGTTGAGGGAGAAGTGGCATGTTTATATGGTTGGTTTCCTACCCTACAACGGCCCCCCCTTGCCTTGAGAAGTGACGTGTTTTGCTAATTTGTTCCCGAACAGACGAAGAACGGCCGCATATCCATGGCCGGCTTGAATACGAATAACATCGACTATTTCGCTGAGGCGGTGGATAGTGTTGTTCGGGAGGGTTTGTAGATGAGCGTTCTTTTATTAGCGTATAGAGGTAGATGGAATGGATGGGATGGGGTGGGATGGGGATGTTTGTTGAGCCCATATCACTCTTTGTTTTGATTTAGTTACTTATTATGTGGTTTGGTTAGTTAGCTAGCTATTTATTAACCACATACTATACCTCATCTCAATCTTAAGAATCAAGTTTTCCTTTCTTTTCCAAAATGAGTCATTGATTTAGTGGGTTAGTTACTTCAGGTCTTAAAAAGGGGAGAGGTTTGGCTATACAAAGACTACAAAGAAGAGGAAGAAGAAAACCCTCCTGAAAAACACAACTATCTATATATCTATGATAACAAATTAACAATCTTGACTAACTAACTTAACTACAATTTATTCCCAAGAGATATGTTTAGGAGGATTAGGATTTATTTTATATCTATCTATCTAAGCTATAAAATCTACTTTCCCCTGTACCTACCTCACTCTACCCTCCCTTTCTTTTCACTAATATTGCAGCATACACACATATTCTCATGAAGAACTTCTGTAGTATGAGGGTAGGTAGGTAAGTGTGAGGTTTCATTCCCTTTCTTGTTTCATATCATGCAGGGGGAGAGAAAGCAGTTGATCCAATACATCTAGTTTGTTAGGGGGAATATATGTCTACTAGGAGGCCTGCTTGTAGCCCTTATCTGCAGCGCATTATTAATTCGGGGTTTCATATTCTATTTCCAGATAATATATGAAGCGGCTAATTAATCACCTAACCATCATACATCATGTATCCTATATATCCGTGCAAACAGACTAATATGAAGGAAGTCAGGGGTTTATCAGTAGTTAGTTACTGTCTCACCCCCCTCCTACACATTTAATTGAGTTATTTAAGGTTAAGTTACCAAGATCAGTTTTTCCCTACTGACTAATTCACTAAATCTAAATACCTCACAAACCCCCACTCACATCTAACTACTAAACAGATGTTCTCGCGTTGCCAAATCACCCCCTGAACCTTCCCACATCCCAACTACGTTAACTACCCAGTCTAACCTCTGCAACGAACTAAACGATACCAATTCCCATCAATCAGGGGGTGATAGCTCAGTTGGGAGAGCGTACGACTGAAGTTAAAACTTTCAGTTTAGTTAAATCGTAAGGTCGCTGGTTCGATCCCGGCTCGCCCCATTTAATTTTTTTTTCCTTTTTGATTTTTTTTTTTTTGGCTGTGGTTGACGAAATATCCGACAGGGCCTACAACGGACAATTTTTGGAAGACGTGAATGAGTGAGCGAGCAGTTATTGTTTTAGGGATTGTTTTTTTTTTTTTTCAAACCCGCCGGCTTTCTGGACGGAGTTTGGAGAGAAAAGTACATTTATATAAACCAATGTGATTGGATTGGCATTCATTTAACAATTTAACAACTGTTATCAGGCTCCTATTTTGCCCTTTCCTAAATATGTAAAATCCTTAAGATTCAAAGAGAGTTTAAAAAAAAATATTACAAACAAACAAAAAAAAAGTGAAAATCCTATGAACACCCTATATAGCACAAGACAAACAAAAGAACGAAAAAATTGGAATCCAGGACAAAGAAAGAAGTAGGACAGATATAAAGCCCATTGCCCCTTTCTTAACCATCTCTTGAATACCCTACGTAGCCTTGTTGAGAGTTGAAAGGCTGACAATCCCAGTAGACAGATGGGGCGGGATCATATGTCATGAGGATTATTATGGTCGTAACGATGGTGGGGTGGGGTGTGGCACTGGAGTGTGGTCGGGAGAAAGCAAAAAGACTGGGATAACGATTATTGATCCAACTACATTTTGGGGGTTTATAACAGTGGTGTTGCATTGATGGTATCTCGAGATAGAAAATATGATTTTTGAAGGAGACGGGTTGGTGGCTCCGTATTCGTGACTGCGGAGGGATGGTACATGTAGGTGCGGTGGATGTAGGGGTATCCAATGACGCTGCGCTATGCGACGGGCGGTTTGGAGGGGGTAGTCGCATTGCGTTTAGAACAGGATGCGAAATAGCGGTAATATCAATATTAACCATGCGTTGGCTGAGGAAGGGCACGAAGCCTCTCAGACGGTGTTTTGATTAAGACAACCCGGATGGTAGGCGACCCAAGTGAATGTGGTCTTATTGTCGGCTGATTCGACCGGTGTTGGTTTTCGGAATGATGGGAGTTGTGCGTTTGTGTCAGTTAGTTGGTTGCAAGTTACGCATCTTGTTCGTTTGACGTCCGAGTAGGAGCATATCATGTCCTAGTAGGTTGGTTAGTATAAAGATGGGCTCCGCAATGTTTATGAGGAAATGTGCTTACCAAAAGATATGGTAGATCCCACTTCCTATCCCTCGACCGTATACAGTCTAATATCTCGGCTTCCAATTTTGTCGTATTTCCCCTTGACACGGCCATAACCTGCCATTCTCGCGGCGTCCTAGGGCCAGAATATGGTCCTTGGATGACATGGAATTGCAAGGAGATCTTCTTGGCGACCACGAAAAAGCGACCAGCATTATCCGAAACTGGCGGGATGGTGATGGAAATAGGCATATCCATTTTCTGGTACCGCTCGACAATTTCCCTCCATCCAGTCTCGGATGACGCAACCTGGATTCTTTCCTGCTCTTCCTCGAATCGTCTCTTTTGGTCTTTCTCCATTCGCTCTCCTTCGTCGAGCTTTCTCAAAATCACATCGTAGTCTCGTTCCCACATCCCCGTTGTCGCGGGATGATCGCCTTTACTTTCAGCCATTTTCTGATCAATCCGGTCCCAGATTAGCTTCATGTCTGGACTCTGCCATTCAGACTTGAAGCTTTCGACTTCAGCAACACCGTCACGGGCAGCTTGGGCAAGTTGATCGAACATTTCCTGGGGAGATTTTGGGATTGGCGTGCGCGGATCGGGATTGACGATTGGCGCCAATGGTGAAAGTAGTCTGTTCGGCACAAGAGTCCGGAGGGCATGGATCTGGAAACATGTTAGTTTTTTATACAGTAAATTTTTAGGTTGTTTATATGTGATTACCACTCTCAAAGAGAGTGATACGATGGAAGTATAGAAGAAACAGACCTTTGCTTCCAGTTGTTGCAACATCGATAAAGCCGTGACCAGTTTCCTCTCTGAATCCCAGTCCTCGTTCGACGCAAAAGGAGAGACGTTACCATCGAGAGCGTCGGTGACTCTAGAGCCAGTACCATTGTCAACAGGATGGGCTCCTAGAGAAGAGCCCGCAGCAGCAGTGTTGTCATTTGGTCCCTTCTGAGAATCCATCTTGCTCAGCCTCTGCTAGGCTAGCGGGGGCGAAGGTTTGGAATCGTTTTACCGCCCCCCTTTAGTGAATAAATGGGTTCCTTGAAAAGGTGACCCTCCAGATAATAATTCCTGAAATCGAATAAAACAAAACGACGGCGTAGTCAAGTTCAACCCGGATAGAGGCGACGCAAATAGGAACAACAGGCCGAAAAAACTCTCGAAGCGGATATGCTTTGGGGAGAGCAACGCTCCGTGGATAAATAAGAAGCACACCGTAGATATGGAAATAGATATAAACAGATGCTGGCTAAGTCCTTAGGCCTGCTAGTAGACTTGGGCCTGGGGGATAACTGATGTTGAGGGGGTTGGGGATTGAAGATGGTGCGTGAACTGGGCATAAAAAGGCGCACAAGATGATAAGAAATGACAGTGAGATCCCTCTATGAATCGAAGGTAGTATAAAACAGGAAACGAGGGGCTGATGGATAGCGGCTCAGCATATCGACAGAGCGTACTGGCAGGATTGAGATCAGATAATCAAACGGAAGTTGGAGCTTGATGCCGAACGGAAAAAGTGGGGAGGCTGAAAGAAGCTTATTTTGAGCCGCTTACCTGTTTCGGAATAGCAGCTCCTAAATTTAGCGTCCCACGTGATCTGATTTAAGGTTCTGATCCTTGGCATCGCTTCAGCCGCCAACCACATCTCAGGGGGGTCTTATCATCCATCAAACGCAAAGTTCCATCAGCATCCTTTATGGGGCATGGGGATCAATGGTTTTATAGATGCCCAGAATCGGGACGATCTAGAATACAACGAGACTTTGCACATTTCGAACGCTGGTGCCTTCCAGTGTGGTGCAACAAGCTCTCCTTCGCTGAATCAAACTGAGATGGATCTCATAGGTGCATGCTACATAGCAAGCAGTGCCCTCAATTTGGCCAGCCCCATGGTTAGTTAGCTACCTGAAAACGTGGCTGTTTTGCATCCCGTCCTCCACCAGCGTGGGTGGGAGTCTACGTGAGCGAAACTCCACGCCGCCAGCTTTCATTTTATCGAACACAACTAGGTCAAAAAGGATCAATCATTAGTGACCAGCTAGCTCTAAGTATTTTTTACCCATTTCCCCCGCGAAATTCGAGCTTCTCCTCAGCAGGTCTGATCTACTGCCGATGTTCGTTCATACCCACCGTGGTGGTGAGAGAGGGTAGAGTTACATAGTGACTATGAATTGTTTGATTTTGCTTCTACCAATCCTCACTCCAAAAAATCGTCAGACAAATAGTGCTGGCCTTGGGAAATCCACAACCATAAGCCAAGACTCCTTGGCCAGGTTAAACGACGATATAGCCTCCTCCTTCCAGGATACTTGCCAATAACGAGCTGGGATTCAGTTGGGGGGGGGAGGCCTTCAAACTCAGAGCCAAACAAAAAGTCTGCAAACATGGCCACTGTTTCATCCAGGGCCCTGAAGCATTTACCTCAAGGATGGATCATTCTGACTACCCTTATCCAGCCAGGGAAGAGCGAGGCTTTCTTGGAAGAACAGCTTCTAGCCAACGGTGCAACAACGCCACGCTATGATTACCGCTCACCACCGGTGAAAATTATCCTGCGCACCGGAGCGCGCGGGAATTGTGTTAAGAAGGCTATTGCTAGCGCGGGCTAATGTCAATGTCAATACGCGGATGATTGATTCATGGCTAGACCTACAGCTAGTAGCTAGGCATGATTATGATGGTTCCTATCACTTTTCTGTTGCTGCTGTTGCATGTTGCTAAGCCGATTTACGGGGCCTTTCATGGTTGGACTGCGCTGTATTAGGTAGCGCGCTCGGGGGCATATTATTACTGTGTTGGGGAGGTTGGTTGATGTCGGTGGTGTGACTGTTGGGAATGATGGGGGACGGGGACGAAATGAGATGGGGAAGATTTGGGAACTAGGAGATTCTACGTTTTCTTATGGATCATGTCTACAGGTCTAGCTAGGAGGGGTACTTGGATGGTGGTAATCCCTAATGGTATCCCACTTTCACTATTTTCAGATGAAGGGTGGATGCAGGGGATAGGGATATCATGAGGTTTTTCAATTTATCAATTTACTATTTTAGTAACTTTCCAGATCCCCTTTTCTCCAGGGCGAGTCATTACTCTCCATCAACGGGGTTGGATACGGATTATTCCTACCCATCCATCATGCCATGAGAAGAATATCGAAGAACACTAGACAGGAACGAAAATGCAAGGAGGTGGCCAAAACATCTAGCCGCCCAAGAAAAAGGGGGAAATTGTACGGCGTATATATATATCCTATATATAACAAAATAACCTGCTAACAGCTTCCCATACTACCCCTAACACCCTCCCAATCCCTCACCCAACAATAACCACCCCCCCTTCCATAACCCTACAATCCGGCGCCCTCGCATACACCGCCCTGCCAAACGACCCAGGCATCTCCCCCAACCCCTCATTCCCCTGCAGCACAGCAAACACCAACGGCGGCGCACCAATCGCCACCGTCACCAGCGCGGACAGCAGCAGCGCATCAAACGCCTGCATCGGGCGCGAGAGATGGAGCGGGGTATGGTAAAACTCCGGCCGCGAGGGGGGCACCATGGACAGGTCGACGAAGTAAAACATGACGCCGGCGGCGAAGTAGAGGTTTGAAGGGGAGAGGGCGCGGGAGATAGAGCGGACGGGTCCGGCGGAGGGGGGTGGAGGGGAGGGGGTGGGGAGGGGGATGTTGGTTGGTATTTGTGTGGGCGGTGAGATTGGCATCATGCCGTGTGTATGTGCCTGTTCTGCTTGTTGTTCCTGCTGCTGATGCTGATACGTTCCTAATAACTGCCTATATGCATTAAACGCCTTGGCCGCATCCGCGTCCGAGATTGGCGCCGTCTTCCTGCCCACCTCCCATA